AGGGATGGGAGGGTGGGATAGGATGTCAGATATGACGCGAGCGCACCTAGCTTGTCCTCCTCCCCGTCCCCCTCCCCCTCCTCCTCCACCTCCCCCTCCCCCTCCTCCTCCTCCTCCTCCTCCTCCTCCTCCTCCTCCTCCTCCTGTTCCCTCCTCCTTTTCCTTCCTCCTTCCTCCTCCCTCCTTCCTCATTCCTCCTTCCTCCCGTCCTCCTTTTCCTTCCTCCTTTCCACTTTCCTCCTTCCTTCTTCCTCCTTCCGATTTCTTTCTCCTTCCTCATTCACCCTTCCTTCTTCCTCCTTCCTCCTTCCTCCTTCCTCCTCCTCCTCCTTCTTCTGCTCCTCCTCCCTCTCCTTCCTTCCTCAAAAAAAAAAAGTTCCCCTTCCTCCTCCCATCCTTCCCCCTCCTCCCCTTGCTCTGCTCCTGCTCCTCCTCCTGCTCCTGCTCCTGCTCCTGTTTTTTTTATTTTTGTTGTTTTTTTTTTTTTTTTATGTTTTTTTTTTTTTTGTTTTTTTTTTTTTTTTTTTTTTTTCCCCCTTTTTTTTTTTTTTTTTTTTTTTTTTTTTTTTTTTTTTTTTTTTTTTTTTTTCTTTTCCCTACCTGCTCCTCCTCCTCCTCCTCCTCCCTCCTCCTCCTCCTCCTCCTCCTCCGCTCCTCCTCCTCCTCCTTTTTCCCTCCTTTTCATTCCTCTTTCCTCCTCCCTCCTTCCCCCTTCCTCCTCCCTCCCTCCTCCCGCCTTTCCACCTTCCTCCTTCCTCCTGCCTCCTTCCTCCTTCCCATTTGTTCCTCCTTCCTCCTTCCACCTTCCTCATTCCTCCTTCCTGCTCCTCCTCCACCTCCTCCTCCTCTTCCTCCTCCTCCTTCTTCTTCATCTTCTCCTTCCTCCCGCGGGGGTGCGGCAGGGGGTCGCGACGGCAGCCGCCGCGCACGCGCTCGCGGCGCCGGGCCCCACGCCGTGACGAGGCACTGGAAGGGCTGGTTGGCGCCGGGCGCAAGGAGCGACGGGCGCGGCCCAAGGGCCTCGGCGAAGGGGGGGGGGCTGAGGTAAGGAGGGAAGTGACACAACGTACCAAGGAAAACAAAGGGGGAGGAAGAGGAGGAGGAGGAGGAGGAGAAAGATGAGGAGGAGGAGGAGGAGGAGGTGAGGGATGAGTGAGTAAGGAAGGAGGAGGAGGAGGAGAGAGTTGAGGAGGAGGTGGAGGGAGGGAGGGAGGAGGGGAAGGAGGGTGGGGAGTGGAGGAGGGGAGGGAGAGGGGAGGTGAGGGAGGGGAGGGGAGGGGATGGAGAGGGTGGGAGGACGGGAGGGACGGGGGGGAGGACCAGCAAGGGTGGGCTCGCGTCATATCTCCGTCCCTCCCCCTCCCCCCCTCCCATACCATGATCGTCGATCTCCTTCCTATATCGCACCAGTCCGATGTCGAGCAGCGGCAATGATCCAGATAGGGTGCGCGATGTACCGTAGAGCACGGCATCGGCAGGGCGTAGACGTAAAAAAGCACGGCAGAGCGTAGCACGTAATAGCATGGCGTGGCGTTGCGTATGAAGAGTCGCAATCCACAAAGCAATTGCAACTCAAACAATGGCATCGCACAGCGACACATAACAGAACATGGAATAGCAGGCGTTTGAAGATTCAAAGCGTACATGGCAATAGCAATTGCCGTGGCACTGCGTAATGTCAAAGCACTGCAGATCCTAGCATTGCAGCTAAGCAGGGCATCGCACAGCGGAACACCACGTAGCATTGCATTGCCATTTGCATGCCGTGGCATGTCACTGGAATAATGACGCCAACGCTGCAACGGAGCACCACGAGTCGGAACGAGCGAAGCGCGGAAATAGGCCAAGCGCTGCAGCGGGAGCACGATTCGGAACGAGCGGAAGCACGGCAATGAGGCCAGGCGCTAACAGCGGGAGCAACGAATTCAGACGAGCGGAAGCCCGAAAACGAGGCCAAGCCCGCTTCAGCGGGAGCAACATTCTCATTTTGTGTTTTTTGGGGGGGGGGATCCTGAAGGGGGCCAAATATCTTCCCCTGCACAGTGATCTGGGGAGATAGGAAGGTATTCAGATTGTGCACTTGAGGAGCAGGAGAGGAGAGGGAGGAGGAGGAAGAAAGGGGAGGAGAGGAGGAGGAGGAGGAGGAGCAGGAGGAGGAGGACAGGAGACGGACGAGGAGGAGGGGGAGGGAGAGGAGATTGGGGCGAGGAGGAGGAGGAGGAGGAGGGGGAAGGAAGGGGGAGGGAGAAAAAGATGCATGAAGGGGACGGGACGGAAGAGTGATAGGGAAAGGTAAGTAAGTAGGGAGGACAAGGAACATTGTTGAAATTGTCCTGGTAAAGGGCCCAACCATATGCAGTTACTGCTACCTCGTTGTGGGCACCGCTTTCCGCGGAGCCCGTCCTGGGCCGTCTTCGGAAGTTGAGCGTAGCTGCCCTGCGCAACCATCAGGCGGGGATGTATCGTCGTCTGTAGCTGCTTGAGTCGTGGGCCCAAAGGT